GAGGAAGAGGATGACCTTGTGTTTAGAGCTAAACCTCCCACCATTGAGTTCCCGAAATTCAATGGTCGTGAGGATGCATGTCTGTGGTTGTACTCAGTGGAACGGTGGTTCAAGAACCACCCAACCAGGGAAGAACGAAAGGCATAGCTAGCCTCCTTTTACCTGGAGGGGAATGCGCTGCAGTGGTGGGAGTGGATGGAGCGTACTTATGCGGAAGCCCAGACACTAATTAATTGGCCGATGTTTAAGGATGAGCTACGGTATCAGTTTGGGAAATCTGGCGGATGGGCTCCGGAGCAGTTAGCCAAGATGCGCCAGACAGGGACGATGGCGGAGTATAGGGCTGAGTTCTTCAAACTGGGTAACCAATGCAAGGGCGTCCCAGAAGAAACATTGGTGGGGCTATGCATGGCGGGACTCCGCCCGGAGATTGCGGCCGCAGTGCGGGTATTTGAACCTGATTCTCTGCGAACTGCTTTTCGTCTTGCAGGTAACAAGGAGGAGGAATTGGCGAGCTGGTGGGGAGTGATAGGCCGATATCAAAAGCCCAGTAGGGGAGGAAGCAGCAGTGGGCCGAGTAGCGGGGTGGCGGTCTCGGCGGGACCGAGCACGGGAGGAGGTGCGGTGACTGGGCCACCTACCGCAGCAATTCGAGCAGGGCCGAGGGCCCCGCCCAAAGGGTTTACCAGGTTGTCTCCTGCAGAGATCGAGCAGAAGAGGCGGGAGAGAAAGTGCTTTAACTGCGACGAGAGGTTCACCTTTGGTCACAAATGCGGGAAGCCTGATTTAATGTTCTTGGTGGGGCGCTGGGAAGACGAGACAGAGGATAAAGCCGCAGAGGACCCAGGGCCGGTCCAAGAGTAGCTTCAACCTTGAGGACAAGGTTGCTTCCCAAGGAGGCGGGGATGTTAGAAACACATTATTTGCAGTTTTTGGTTATTTCGTATTATTGTCGGTTTTTGATAATTGAGGGATTATTTGGGGTATTCGGGCAATAAACATGGAGTCGATTGTTACGTTTTATTATTTGGGTAGGAGATAGGAAATATGCGGATTATATAATCTGCAGTAGGGTGTTATTTTTCCATTAAGCAATAAAATACCAAAAACCTAAAATCTACTCTCTCTCCCTCTTCATGCGTCCTTCTCCTTCCCTCTTCCTCTCCCTAAAAGCTGCGGCAGCAACAGCCCTCTTTTCCCTCTCTTATTCTCAAATTCCCAATTTCAAATCCCTAGCTAGGTCAATCCCTAATTGATCTAGCTAATTTCTCTAATCCCAAACATGTTAGAAACTTTGTTTCTAACATGTAGCTTGTAGGCTGAATGTTCCTTCTCATTGCATCGTCGTATAGGCTGTCCAAAGTGAGTATATCTAGCCCTCTACATAGTAAAATACTCATACCATATTGTACTAACTACTTTGATAGGGTCGGAATGAATTTGCTTATCATCTGCCACAAAGGAGATGTTACTCAAGTCAAAAGTTGGTTTATGACACGTGGTAAGAGCTGGTTTGTATTTGAGGTCACGTATTCAAATATTTACGATCCTTGATATCATGTGTTGTCTTACAAATAACTCAAAACGATTTATTTCAAATGACTCCTACCTCCGTGTTATTCCGAAATAGCTCGTTTTATTCTTCCCCTTTTTGTCAAATACCACATGCGCATGGTTTTTCTACCAAGCAAGATACTTTAATCCATTTATCACTGAATCATACTAAAATACCGCATGAACAATTAATAAGTTGTTTGAATCTACAAATATCATATTGATAATTAATTCACCCGAAAGATCACTTAAAGTACATAGTATTGCGGGCTTTGTGCGAAATTCAAATTCACGAGTCGACCTCAATTTATATGACTTAAAAGAAATAAAATTAAGATCCACACATATACCACTTCCAACCATTCGAATTATTGGGTTATAATAATTACTAATAATACTATGAGGCCTAAATTAAATAAAGTCACATGCAAACCTCTCAGTCCAAAGAATATTCTTCTTTTCCTGTAAATTCATCCTCAGTTGAAGCAATATAAGCGCCACTTACCTCCGACGTCGACCACACCACACCAAACTTAGCTTGCCGATTCGTGGAGTGAAAGCGAAAACGAAAGAGCGTATATTTTTTAAGAATTCTAATTTAAGAGCGTAGCAAAAGTGTGAATACTATATTATTTTAATTTATATATAATTTCATATACTAGCATATTTTTATCAAAGTGCTGCCACAACCCTCATAAAAAATAAAAAATAATAATAATTTTAAATGTTTTATAGCTTTAAAAACTTCAAAAGCTTAATAAAATCCCAAAGTTTACCGTGATGTTGTCCTCCTCCTCCATGGAATGGGCCTATTCTATTCGTAACATTTTAAGGTCCAATTTAGTGGAGTGAGTGGCCCAATCCATCAAACCCTATTTGTTTCTTCTTCTCCACCCACAGGCCACAGCAGCCGAACTCTTATCTTCAACAACGACATTGCAGCCGTACAAGAAGAATGCTCTGATTTCTCATAAAAAAATATTATCTACTCCAAAATGTACTCAAAACTCCAAAATCTAAACAGTACGCATATGTTTCATTACATGACCAATTATCAAAGAACATGAAGCTTACATGACCAATTATCAAAGAACATGCTCAAAACTGTTAGAGAGTGGTATAAGATCCACGATTGAACCTCTCCCAACAACTCGAGTTATTGGGATCAACTGGTTCTTGACATGGTATCAGAGCCTAGAACCGAAAGGTCATGTGTTCGAATCTCCACGACCCCCAATATTAACCGTTGTCTTTCAAGCACATGGTATGGTGGGCCTGTGCAAACTTCAAGCCCATGGGTTGGCTTTCGTTTGAGGGGGCGTGTTAGAGAGTGGTATAAGATCCACGATTGAACCTCTCCCAACAACTCGAGTTATTGGGATCAACTGGTTCTTGACAAAAACCCCTACCACCAAAGTCATCTGAGTAGGTATGGTATGATAAACCTGGTATATATGTACCCAAACTACAACGGCCAACAACTGACCAAGTCCATATGTTCTTTTCTTCACTTCTACCACTCAGTCAAAACAAACTAAGCATATATCACTATCTCATTGATACTCCTCGAGAGCCTATTAACATCCCTTCATATCCACATATTCTTTTCTTCACTTCTACCACTCAATCAAAACAAACTAAGCATATCACTATATCTCATTGATACTTCTCGAACCTATAACACCCCCCTTCATCCACTAGTGTTACCGTTAGTGTTTAGCTATAGACCTTCATTTTCATCCACTGAGGCTGCTCCTCCAGAACTAGACTCAATCAGATTCATCAGAGGACGAATAGTCCACCAGCTTTATTACTCCAGATTCATCAGAGGACGAGGACGAATAGTCCACCAGCTTGATTATCCCAGATTCTTCTCGAGGAACCCCACCATTCCCACTAGAAACAGACATATATGCTTCCTCGAGCTATGCCTTCTCAAGTTCCAACATAGCATCAAAACGTCGCCGGAGAGGTTTTGGGGTTCTGTAGAAGGAGGCCGAGGGATATATTTATAGGAGTGAGATGACCCGACTTTTCTTTTTTTTTGGTGATATAATATAATGACGATCTGGGTGGACCGAAGGATGTAAATTGATCCAACGGCGGAGATTCTAGTAGCCGTACGGAATCATTTTGTAGGGAAAATTCAAAATCGAAATAAGCCTTTTCCTACACCCAAATACCCTGCGTAAATGATTAGCAAAGGATTTGTACTTATTTGTAATAAAAAAAAAAGGATTTTTACTTTGTAATAAGAATCTCACTGTAGGTTTAAAAAAAACTAGCATATGATTTCTTACGTCATAACAGAGTTGATCGTATTACGCTCTTTGATAAAGATTTTGTAAAGAAAAACTGGAACCCAATCGAACCATACCTCACTCTCTTCTCATCGACACCTCAACCTAGCCATTTGATGTGCTGCTTCATTCCCTTTCCTCCCCCCAAAACCTCAGCTTCACATTCGGTGTGTCTGTACCATTTACAAATAACAGTAATGTCTAGGGTACATTTCTCATTCCCTTGAATTTAGAGTTTAGCTTTCACAAAATTATCCTCTTTGTAGTAGATCATTTGGGAAGGTTGTAACCGATTGGATGGTTCAGATAATTCGTCAACAGGAAAGGCTGCAGCAGGGGGCCTTTTCAGAGATCATTTGGGACGATGCTTGGGAGCCTTTGTTTGTAACCTCGAGACTTGCTCGATCACAAGAGCATAAATTAAAGGTGTTGCCGAGGGGTTAAAGATGGTCTGGAAAAGTGGTTACAGGCAAGTGCAACTCAAGCTTGATTCTACCGCTGCTGTTAGCATCATTGAAAATAAAAGGGAAGACAACTACAAACACGACTTCCTTGCTAAACCAAATTGGGAAGCTCTTGGATCTTGATTGGAGTGTGTTCATTTCTCACGTGTATAGGGAGAGTAATTATGTTGCTGGTTATTTAGCTAGCAAGGGTCGTGATATTAATTTTGGCATATACTCCTTCGATGTGTGCAACTCGGACCTTTGCTTTTGGCTTGATTATGATATCATATGATGGGGATTGCGATGAATCAGTCTATCATTAATGAAAATTAAGGCGCCATTGGCACCTCTCTTCTTACCAAAAAAACAAATGGGTTAGTTTGGTCTTGCGATAGCTTTTGTAGAAAGAGCTTCTAGCTTAACCTTTTAGAGAAGTATTTTAAAAAAAAAAAGTTGAATCTTCAGTTGAAAAATTATAGAACTGCTTTGTTATATAAGAGATTAAGTAAAAACCCAAAAGAAGAAAAAATAAGAAGGCAAAGTTTCGAGCTCGGGTTGGTAGTCTCGGCGATGGGTTATTTGTCATCCGTGGAGGTGGAGAGTAGTGTGATCCTAAGACCTCACTTTGGAAGAAATAAGAACTCAGTTATTATACACGCAAGTGACAGAGAATGGGGAAAAAGAATGGATGAAAAGATAAGAAGTTTCAACCAAACTCAAATGACTCTTCATTGTGTGAAAATGGGGTTGATAGATAATCACAAGATCTTACAAATGGTGGTGGGATTAGGGTTCTTTCTACCGTGTCTAACTGGAAATTAACAACAGCTCACCCAAAACAAGAAAAAATAATGAATGACAGTACAAGAAACTCGCCTGCTAACACATATGTGGCATGATGCTCCAACATCGAAGGCAAAGTTTCGGGCAAAAAAAAAAACATTATTTCTAATCCTCGTTTAGCCGTAGAAATAATCAGAAGAATCATCAAATCTAACGCACGACTCGTGCAACTGCACATTACGTAACAATATGATACACGATAAGACTCGGGATGGTCTGTGACGAGGCAAAAAAAAGAAGGAATGTTGTTCTGTGGATGAATGATGATGATGATGCTCTTTCTTTCCATGTGTGCATTCTTTATACAAAAAAGCAGGCATTTCCTCCACTCATAGGTATCCTGGATATGGTTGGTACGCTTGAACGGGAGGCGGCATACCTGAGCCGTAGGGGTGGACTGCAGCAGCTCCATAAGGGTTGGCGAAAGGATTTGCCTGCTGTTGGAATTGTGGGGTGGTCATCATCATCATCTGTTGCTGCTGCTGCTGCCACATGAGAGCCTGTTGTTGGTTGGCCATTGCCGCCATCTGCACATTATGAGATGCAGCTACTCCGTTGGAGGCGAAGAAAGGATCGTGTGAGGCTGCTTGCATCACTGGACCGTTCATTGGAGCGGCAGCTTCCCAGGGGTTGTAGCTCGTAGGCTGGCTGTTCCTTCTCATTGCATCGTCGTATAGGCTGTCCAATGTGAGTTTATCTAGCCCTCCCGCCTTAAAGACAAAGAAAACGATTGATAAGAATCAGCAAAGCTAACATTAAGGGGTGGCCAACAGATGCAGTTTAATGGCAGTTGAACCGAAGTGCAGCAATAACTAGTCCAATTCACTGTGTTCTGGTGGTGTTCCTGACACCAATATTAAGACCGATTCAATATGTTCACATCACAAACCTCACCATGACCACATAATTTGCTGTTCGGGTCACACCTCAACGATGTAGCCTGCAGGCTGAATATGGGTTTTTGCGCAGTTCAATGCAAGTTGAACCAAACCCACCACATGTCCAACCCTAGCTAACATTACAGAAATTAATGGTAAGAGCGAAAATCTGAAGAAGCAAACATACCAACTTGCTAGCAGCGGAGGTAGTTTCATTTGAACTTGGAGCTGTAACCAATGCTAGTTCCCAACCAGTTCCATTTGCTTGGGTTGGTGCAGCAGCAGTTTGTTGGTCCCCTACAAAAAGAGATATCAGAGTTATGCATAAAGTTAGCCATCTATGCATGCGATTTATTAGTACTCAACCCAACGAAAATTGAAATCCAAAGTCCTGGGATATCTTAATTTAATCATCGACAGTTAAGTTTGGAAGCTCAGTAACAAAAGATTCTATGAGACACAAGCTGCTGATACAAGGCATCCCACTTGAGGCAACAGGTCTAAGGAAAGGAGCGATCTGACTGTTCTTACTGAACTCAGAACTATTTAAGATTAGGGAATCAAAGAGCTTACCCACTGGGACAATAGCCAGGGCAAGGGAATTTCTCTCATCAAGTTCTGAAGAAGCAACTGTAGCAGGATCATCCAAGTTCTGTCAAACAAAAGTAGGCGACAATGCCTTGTGAGGAACTGACATACAAAACACTCCTGGGAGAAAGGATGTGCTACTTTTGTGCTATGTTCAAAAACCAATACATAATAACTGATAAGTGAATGATTATGCAGGAAAAAACGAATTTGGGGACTCACCAGCAAATCAGGTGGTGGAACGACAGGAGGTTGTTCCTCTTTCACTGGTTCAGGAGGAGGAGGTGATGGCACATGTTGTTCCTCTTCCTTCACCTCGATTTCCTTCTTATACTCTATGGCTAAAACCTCCTTTGGTGCTTCAAGTTTGTTATCCACAACCTGCTTGGTAAAAAGACCAATTTCACATGGTTTTAGTCATAAAGGACTCCAAGCTCATTTTGCTAAGACCACAGGACAGCTTTGAAAGAGTTCAAAGAACCTTCAGATGACATCTGAACTACTAAAGTACAGTCTTTTCTACCTATCTAGGAAGATTAGGTTATGTACCTGATCTTTGCGAGCAGTTGAGACACGTGGAGCATCACGAACATACTCTTCCATTGTTTGCAAGAAAGATGCAGGAGGCTGCATCATCACCAGAAACACTTAAAAAATTGAACAAATGAATATAGAAAATTGCAGAGATGATAAAGTAAGAGAGAATCTCAAAACCTGCTCAATCTTAATGAACCGTTCTCCACGCCCTATATCCATGCTTTTACATATCTCATAAAATTCCGACAGTCTCTCTGCCTGAAAAACAAATTCAAATGTCTCAAACTGAGACTCTTGAATGAAATTTCCACATCTCAAGTAACAAAAAAAAAATACCTGCTGACAGGCTTTCCTATATATGTCCAGAGCCTTCACAGCATCAGCACGTGGCATCTCAAAAAACTGTCATTAATAAAGCTAAAGTTAATATTGGAACATTATAACATCAGACATTAAGGACCGAAATCCAGATCATTTACTACCTTGTCGACTAGATTTGCTGTTCCATCTGTTATAGCTTGATAGATCTTGACACTTTCCGAAGCAACCTATTAGAAAATGGCATGAAAGAAAATGATAAGTCATAAAACAAAGAAGATTACTAACTCTTATCCACTAACTTGAGAAGAAAAGACATTAAAAAATTTCTCCTACCATTGCGAGTGCCAAGCGGATGATGAAGTTACTAACAGCAGCTCCCTGAGGCTGTTAAAAAAGAACCAAATATTGCTTCAGTAAAGATGGAATGAAAAAAATAAGTGTCTTTCTTCTGTTAAACCCTCACTAGTATTTAGCAAATTTAGCTGGTACCTGACAGTTAAGGACACGGAAAAGAAGCTGCTGCAACGCTGGCAATTGCTCCAGTAATTCAGCAGTTTCCAGATCTTTAGTCCTCTGCAAAAGGTTTATTAACGAATTAGTCAAGGATGATGGACACCTACTATTAACTGAGACTTCAATCATCAGGAACGACTAAAAATGATATAGGAACACATGCAGAAATAGTTAAGAGCAGAATGAAATAACAGAGAGAGAGAGAGAGAGAGAGAGAGAGAGAGAGCGTACTGGTCGATCTGTCTCAATGTCATACTTCAAAACCCGAAAAGATTCCAGCCTCTCCTCCAAAAACAACGCATAAGTGCGAACCCAAGCAGAATAATCCCATGCTACATGATGCATAAGAATCATCAGTGTAGCAGTCATCTAAGTAAACAGGCAGCTCACAAAGTTCAGACAGAAAAAAACCAATACCATTTGGGCTGGAATCATCTTTAAAATGCGACATGTTGAGCATATGACTTCTGCTTCTGCCATAATTGATGAGCTCCTCATGAAATGTAGGGTCTACTTCTCTCAAAGCTCGATGGATGACAACCAAAGTTTTCAAGGCAACCTAAAGTCAGAGATATTCAGTCCATCAATACAAGAGAGAATAATGCAAATAATAGAAAATCTTAAGCACGGACCACAATACAACAAAAACGAAATCAGCTACCACGTAAGCTATTTCATGGCTGATACTGATAGAGTTACATGCCTGAACTTATCTACATGGTAGCCACTTGGCTTAAGAGAGATGTTCTACCACAACGAACACCACTCTAGTATGTCTCCGATCAGAACAAGACAGTAAACAATAGATAAACACCTACCGCCCAGTTATGCGTTTTTGCCAACCTTCTGGCAAGAACATGGATGCAATATGCAACATCAGCACGAGGTCTGGTAGCGGAAATAGCAGCGAAAACAGCTGCAAGAAGATTTAGGAAACCACGTGAGCTTGATGTTGCTCAGCCAATTCTCCCTCAAAACGTTACAGCCACAAGAAGCCGAAGATTGAAAGAATTTCCATGGCTTGAAGAGGCAAAACAATTGGCACAAAATCACCAACCTCTTATATGCTTCTCCTTCGCTGGTCTTTCAACATGATTCGTGGCCTTGACTATAGCAATGTCCAATTCCTGGGAAATGAAAGAGTAACAAGAGCAAACAGATCAATGAGATTAAAAGAGGAAACTTTAACAACCATAGTCTAAACTCCCAAAAACTCGCAACTAGTAACCTTGTAATCGCTATTGATTTTAGCCAATGAAACAGTGGTGGTATCCTTAATGGACCCAAGTGCCTTCCTCAAGCTGTTCTGAGTTCCACCTCCTGACATCTTCTCTCACTTGATCAATAGAATTCTGCAAAACTTAACACCGTTAACATCATCCTCGGAAAGATGAACATACTCCTCCCACAAGAAAGTACCCAAAAAATGAACTTTTAAACCACGATCAACAACTTAGAGCTCATATCTAGATAGATCCAAGCCAGAATCCCAACAATAGACAAAACCTAACATTCACCAACAGTCAAACCAAGCACTGACTAGAAAAACACAAGGAAAACGATAACTCCCAAGCTCCACAACAACCGAAAGAAAGCAAATAAACAAACTTTACAGACCTACCCAGAACCTAGATAATCGCAAACCACAGAAAGCAGAAACCCCAACTCTTTAGCTGAAAACATACAGCAGCAGAATCGATTTCCAGACACCAACAAAAAAAACAAAAGACCCCAAAAAGGATCTCACCAAAACAAAGCTACCCAGAATAGAAAACCCAACTAGACGAATAGAAAAGTAAGGTGTCTTCAAGTCAAGGATTGCATTACCAACTGAGAGCTGTAAAAAAAAAGATTCCCAAGCGATGGAACTCCCGCCCTGACACAGGTGAATTGGGCGAGGAAAACACCTGAGCTGAAACGAATACGGAGGAAGAAGAGATGGGAAAGGGTCGGTGGAGAAATGGTGACAATCTGACTCAGAGAATTGGAAATGGAAACTCACTTTTCCTCTCTTTACTTTTCAGAGAGGAATTGAGTTGAGGAGCTCGGTTTTTTGTTGGGTCGTCGGCGTCGTAGACGAAAATTTAATAGAAATCATTTGTTTCTATTCTGTATTTTTTAATCTTTTATTTCCGTATTAAATTGACCCGCAATTTTTTATAAAAATAATAAATTCCCTGTCAATTGTTTAGACGGCGTGCTTGTCCCTGCAAAACCTTCTTATTTTTGGGTAGTCCCACCCGTAATTTCTATAGCATCTTTAGTCCTTGTCATTTGAAGGTTATACAAATTAGTCCATCAATGACTACCTTCCTTCTTTTGGATGGGCGCTACGGATCTTGAAATAAAGATTCATTCACTGAACATTCAACGTACCATCACGTGTTTAAATGTACATTCGGTTTTTCGATGTTGAATATGTTAACCTAAAGTATTACTCTGATTGTGTTAAAGAAGCTAAAGTCTCTCACCAAAGAATTGCCCAAAAATACATATGGTTCAAACATACTTATTGTATTTAAATGTCTCCCAATAGTGATCTTACCCGTGCTTGATTATAGTTATTTCTCCAAAAAGTAGACAAAAAAAGTTAGTAGAGAGCAGCAATTCTCTCGAGTTGTAGCTAAATTTTTGAAAATGATATCATATATATAATGTTAAACCCATATCTCTTCATAATGGTCTGATGTGAGGACGGTAATGTGGTTTCGAGTTTCTAAATTTGTTTTAAAAAAAAATTCTTGGTATTCTTTATAATAGATAAGGTACATGGATAATGCACAAATACTCATTATTCGTCAGATTAATTTAGTCAATGCTATATTAAATAATTAATGTTAAGTACAACGTGAACTTCGCATGCGTATTCGTAAAAAAGAGAGATAGTTGGCATCTATGAGTGGCTCCAATCATAAAGAGACTAAAATTTGAAAAAATAAAAATTTGGAGGGACTAAAAGTGCTAACAACATTTGTGCTAATCACGAAAACGTAATTTTGTCATGCCCTTGTTGGAGGCTAGTTGACATTTCTTTTTGTCCCCACACTTTCACAGTTACGGCGTCGTACGAGGAAACTTTACTGCCACACAGTCCAAATGGCTTGTGCTCCCCTACAGCCGCTTCCACGGTAACTCCATCCTCTTCCTCCTCTCTGATTTCGCCACGTCATTAACGTGAACCGTGATCTCCAGCTGGACGGAAAATTAACGCGTGATTTATTATTTAATCAAAGCCGTGCTTTGCTTGCTTGGCACTGTCACCGGCCGCGCTGTCTGTAACATTCCACACATGAGATTTTCTTTCCCCTTCTAATAATTTTTCTAATTAGAGATATTAAATATCAAATGAACCTTATAATTTATTCAAATTATTATTTTTTCTATATTAAAATTATAGTATCTTAATTTTTCGAATAATTTAACTACATTTATCATGTTATAGTTTGTTTCTTTGTTTTTTTTAATGAAAAATAATATTTCAACTATTTTTCGTTTAAATTACATAATCATATGGATTGATTTGGTTTGACCATCGCTCCATGATAAATTATCCTAACTGACCCCAACATGCCACAGGTGGGTACTGGTGTAGAAAACCCGCCCCGATCTACCCCATTATTATTTTTAATTATGTTTTATATACTTGCTCAACTGAAACATGAGGCGAGAGATAAAATATCCAACTGTAAACCCAATGCATATTGCTTGATGTAACCATTCCTTTCACGATTTGACAAAGGTAAAATTCCTAAAGTACATACTTACGAAGTATGTATCTCATTTAACAGTCAAACCAATATTCATCATAAAGACAGGTTTTCAACACCAAAACGAAAATGTTTGATCTTTAACCTGTTGAACTCGAAATTGCTATAATAAAACCTTTGTTAGAATAGATAAGCCCCCAGTATCTAGAAAACTTTGAAATTTCATCATAGACAAATGTTTGGTCAAAATCTGTTGTTGTAGTTGAATTGTGTAGGTAGGTACAATATGGTCCATTTGTAGTTGAATTGACACATACACTATTCAATGGGATGTCTCAAAAATTAAAAATTTGAATAAATGCCAATAATGTCATTTAAGTCATAGTAGTTATAGAAAGTGAGGTGTCATCACATGCCTACTATGATAATAAGTGCCACTATCGAAAACGAGGAAACATATTATTTGGGTAATTTTGATTTTATTACAATGATTAATTATTTTGTGGTGGCTTAGGGATTACTCAAATCAATGTTGGGGGAAATTGTTAAATTTTTCTAGTGGGAAGTTCCAAAGCAAACAGAACACATCTTTGAAAGGAACCTCCCCCAAAGTTTATGCCATGTCCATGTGGATGTGAGTTGTGTGATCACTCCCTCTTACCCAAACCACTCTTAAAAAGAGGATGAACACAACCTTAAAATTGTATTTCAATTAATTTTTTAAAAAAAAAACAGATACACTAATTTATAAAGAGTTATATACGAGTACGCTAAACATCGTATGTGCTGTAATGTGCGGCATAAAGTAGAAACAACATCCTAGATGGACCGTCGAGAAGTACTCATCATTCATCACACAAATTATATTCTTTAAGCGTGCATAGAAGAGAAATCTCTCTCAGTTGAAAACAAACATTTGTTGAATAATTGTTTGTGCATGACGATCGTGTGTGTGTAATGGGATTGGCCTAGTATTGGCTATTTCCGACCTGACAGGTGCGACCCGTTCTGTTTCGGGTGGATATTATCCTACCCGTAATAGCATGTGGCGGGACATGAGTATTACTTGTGACCTGACTCTCACCGTTCTTGATCCCATTCTATCCCTCCCTTCCAGATTTTCCTTCTCCTCCCTCACTTTGCTCCTTTCCTTCGAAAACAGAGTGTTATATTTCTTACGATCGTAACTGACCGCCACGCCAGCTCAGGTGCCCTCTCGGTGGGTACTACGTACTAGTATTATATTGGTTGGATTCCCATCCGATATAAAACAAAACCATCCAAAACTGTAAGTGGATCCCACTTTGGGCTCGTACGGTCGCTGTAGCTGTTAGCCCAAAATTGAAAGATAGATGTTATGGGCCCGACCGATGGCCCACGTAACTCATTTTGCTTCTTTGTACTTTGCCGTCACGGACTGACAGACGGCGTAGCTGATAACCTAACTAGAATCTTATTAATTTGGTAATTTTCAGCGTAGAATTTTTGTTTACGACTATGAGTTCATTAGATATTCACAAAAATCGAGATAGCGAAAGAGATAGCACTTCATGAAACTCATCTTCGAAATCTCCTATATTACAGTTCCTTTAAAAAAAAAATTAGCTAGTAGAAAACGCAATACTCTTTCTACATTTCATAAATTTGTCTGCTATTCATGAAGACAAGCTGAGAATATAAGACCAACAGAAGATAAGCAGATAAGAGGAAGACAATCCGACTATGATGCTCTTAAGCGGCTTGGGGTATGGTATCGTCAGATTGAGTGACCAGATCCACAATCCGACTATTCGATCTAACAATCATGAATCGTCCGCGCTCAATCCAACGGTTCCAGACGCCTGTGAGTACAATAGCAAAATTGGAAATAAGAAACAAAGGCTCCTTATGATCTTCGGTTATCACCCAAACTAGGTGCAGGTTTATGATTCTGATTTCTGAGCTTATCTCAAATGGACATGCTAATAAAGCAACAAAAATTAACAAGCAAAAACTGAATACTAACTACTTATATTCCTAGGAAAAGTAAACAAATGGAGAGAAAAAGAAGAGCAATTTTCCAAAAAAACAAGTTACAGAATGTTACAGAGGGAACAACTGTTTAGCTGACTGATTGCCTTCTCTAACAAATGGGCTTCCAAAATTTGTGCTGCCTTTGGCCTCTCAAGCTCGCCGGACTACAGCTGTCGCATAACACGGGTGGTGTATGAACTCGAACGAAACCTTCAGGGAATTAGGTTCCACAGCTCCGAGCTGGCAGATGACGTTCATAGCCACGCTGTTGTGCTCCGCCACCTGTTCTAACCTCCTGAGCTCGGCTAGCCGGTCATGGTCGTTCGAGAAGCTGCTCCTGAGCTCTTTGGCCAGCTTCTGTGCTTGTTGGAAGCAGTTGGGCGTTGCTATGTTCTATGAATGACAGAGAGAGGCGGGGTCACCATGAGGAAAATGGGATACACTAGTGGTGATTCAGAGGTGACGTTTTGTGAATGTTGACTCACCGAGAACCTGGCGTACGAAGTGGATTCCTTGAACGAGTGGTAGGTTATTTGCTCTGGAATACAAGCTTTCTGGAGAAGCTCGAAATGCTGGAGGAAGATCTGAAAAGAGACAAGTGTCGGGAAGTAAAAAGTGAGTACCAGATTTTGAAAGTGACTGGCTTTGTTGAGAATTTCAGTAGTAAAGCTGGCCACTCTTGGTGGTGATTGGTAACGTGGAAGTCACTGGATTGATTTGATCCTTGAGATGCAAGAAATATGCAAGTGAAATCAGTAAGCATCATCACATGATTGATTGTTAAAGAAAAGATGGAGACTTTCACCTCTTGTTCGGAGTTGAATGGGGTTAGACTGTGTAAGGCCGCCATTTCGTTTCTTAAAGCAGCCTGCAGCTGTCGACATTAGACGAAAATAGTTAGCTAGTGTACGGCAAAACCAGACAAACATAGGACGAAATCCAAAGTATGATTACGAGTGTGAGCCCTTCGACGAGGTGGATTTGACACTGAAGAAAACGCACTGCTGGTGGAATCCGAGTCTCTCTTCCTACATCTTTCGATGAATCCTTTCGTTTCTTTCCCTTCCGTTTAGCTGCTACAGAATATAAAATGAAATGCATTAGTAATCTTTTTGCCAGCTCTCTCAGCAGGAAAAAAACAGATTCATTTAGCTTGTTCTCTAAGTAATTCTATCGCCAAGCTCATTCTTCTTTCAGTTTTATTACAACATGTTCTATAGAGTTCCATCTAAGCAAACAACTAAGACATACGGACATAGGCCATACCAGTGATCTCAGTGATCTCCATTCTAGAATCTGTTTTCTCAGCTAGCTTGACCAAGACAGCATAAAGGTACCAGTATACCATGAAGAATTCGCTAGGCGAGTAGAGCTCCAACTCGAAGCCCAACATGAGAAACCGAAACGCTATCCAGTACGCCTGCTCCTCCAACCATATCAGAATTTGTTTGACAACTCTTGCCACACCATTCTGTAGAATTGAAACTCATCGCCTCCTATGAGATATCACAACCAAATGTGAATTAAAAGGTCAGAATTAGAGGAGAGAAAATTACCTCGTCATTTGAAGTTGCTAATACTTCTCCAAACTTGTTTGTGAAAGCAAGCTCTAGCTGTTGGAACAAATTCAACAACGGAGGTGCCTTGTGTTATTTAATATCAATGTAAAGCATGATGGAAGTCAAATCCCATCATCACAAATCATGGTACTAATATTAGGAGACCTTGGCATGCAAAGTCTGCCCTCTAAGTAGGCCTCCTGCTATTGTACTTAGGCAGTCACTAACAAGATTTACATACCTGTACATAGATAACACGCCAATCTTGCAAACTTTTTCCTAGTTTACGCCTTTGCCATGCAGTATTTGTACAAACAATTTTGAGCATGTTGATGACTAACTGCAAGATGCATGGAAAGTGAATGAGCTCATGGAAAGCTCGTTCCCAGAACAAGTATATAGTAAAAGGATGCAGAAATTAACAGTCGTCGCTATTTCAGCACTAAACATTTGTGCTTGCAAACTCAGTAATTCAGTTCTCATCAACGGCCACCAGATAAGTTCAACTACAGCAGAACATTTAAGAAGGTAGTAAGTTCCAGAGAAATAGAGTAATTGGAAATCATCCTCACCTGTCCTAGTTGCATAACAGATTCATATCTCTGAATATCATGGTTCTTTGTGGTTTCAGGCAACCCTGCAGCTCTAGTAATTACAGCAAACATAGGATCCCGTCCATAAAGCCTTCCCTCTTGAACCAGCAAAAGCTGTAAAGAAACCGAAAGTCAACCACTGACAGTGATGATATTGATAACAACTGAAAATTAATTAGAAAATGCATTATGCTTAGGAAAAAGGGATGTCCATCTAAGCAGCTTAAGTGAGTATTGATCATATAATAACAGACTCAGGGGGGAAAAACAGTTTTAGTGGAGGGCAAAGAATAAGGAACCTGAAGATGTGATCTTGCAACTAGATCAGGTCGAGAACTCTGAAACTGGGTCACGAACCGTAGCAGAACTTCCAAGGATGGGTCCAATGAATAGGAACAAATAAAATCTAGATCACGAAGAAGTTTTTCAAAATACTCAATGGCCTGGCAGAATGGGGGAAAACAGCATTTCATTAAAATGAGTAATTGAACAAGTTAGGCATATTTAATTTCTGCAGTCATCACCTTATTCCAACTAAGCATTTTTATTGAGCGAGGTGGAGCAGGAGCAGAGACTCTACTATTCAAACTAGCATCAAAACCAATAGGTTGCCGTCCAGATGCAGTTGTTCTATCTTCGATACCAATTGAACAACCGCCAGAAGCAATTGATATTAGAAAGTCTGCTGATTTACGAATGCACTCCAGCTCTGACATGGATGAAGCTATATGTTTCCTGGCCAGCTCCAAGCCTTTTCCTTGAGGCCGCCTCATACAAGCAAGTACATGAAAAAAATGCTGGAAGCAGAAGGCGAAGGGTATCAAAAAGAGCAAAAGGGAACCATATTGAAGTAGAAAGTAACCTAAGTGACTGTAATAGAAAAAGCAATATGCTAATGCACTGCATATAATTTGCCCACTTTGTACAGGATAAACAGAGGATAAGACCTTACGAAAGCGTAAGCGGCATAACAATGCTTTACAGTAGCCCTCCTCCATGTCAATATCAGATTGCAAAGGTTCCATATCTGCTTTTTTCCAGAAACATTAGTATGTCATATAATTGTTTGATTAAGCCACTTGCTGAGCTAAAGAAATGCAAGTTCTCATTACAAGGAAAACTCAATTATACCTTGTTTTCTTCTAGATGATTGAGCCTTGCAAGCACGCAACTGACGACACAGGTTCTCTTCAACAGCATTTAGCAAAGACAAGCTCTTTTCATCTCCATCCCCGTCCAAAGGAAGTCCATAAGCCATGGTAAAAAGATCCTCTTCCTGCCAGAGAAATGAATTAACTCAGTATATTAATATAACATATAACTGTTTAACAAGTTTTAAGAATATCTTCACAATTATTACTCATCACCAAGCTTGTTGATGATGAAACAGAAAGGGGAGGAAAAAAGACAGTAGACAAATATGAACTAAGGAAATATTGAAGGAGTAAGAAGCTAAAGGGTTGTTGGAATACTTTACTTCATGTGTACGGGCATCTGAGACAACTGAAACAATAGCCTTGCAGGTAGCCCGAATGATTTTGCAATATGAATGCAATATTGGGGATGGAACTGTTCTCTCGGGCCTCAACAAGTAGATACAAGAGAACACAGTTTGAGCAAGTGAATGACCCTTGTGCCACGTTGCCTACCACAGAAAGACAGCAGTTCAGGACTACAAACTTCTTTAAACGTGTAATCCTCAAATGGTGATATACCAATCCTACCTCACAAGCTAAGAGATGGTCCATGATATCTAATGTGCATTGAACATCTGTGGTTCTATCAAAGCTTATTGGAACTGGACCAACACCGTCTTCGATTGCCTCATCAACTGAATAGTACTTGCATATCATGCCAGAATCCATCTTTGGGTCCATTATCTAGAAAATTGAATAACTGTGCTCATCAGTTGCCAAGCCAAATTATGAACGTGAAGGATAAAGAGAGAGGAAAGGAAAGCCAAAAAGTTTGTGTTATTATGCAAGCCAAACACCTCACCACATCTCACATTTTACAAGAGAGCAACGAAGTTGCAAAAAAGCCACAAAAGAAAAACCAAGCAAACTACAGTTTGATATAATTCCGCTATAGAGTTAGCTTTAGAAAGAAGATTTGGTGATCAACGAACTAGGTGCAGAAAGCAAGTGAGCACCCTCCTAGGCAAAGTCTTAAACCAATCATAAGTTCGAAAGTAATTTCATGTGAAGGCAAGCTAAGAAGCAACAGAAACGCTCCAGCACTTGTGTTCTTTGATGGCTCTTAAAAGCCTAGATAGTGCATGCACTCAATGACCATTTGGACCGACTTCAAAATTATGACCAGCAACGAAATGGTTGAGGATTTATCCATTAAAGTGAAAACATGCTGCTCTTATGGGAAGTTGCGAAGTGCAGGTACAGAGAGAAATTTTTGAAACTACTCCGTTACCTCTAAAGCAGACATGGCAGCGAAAAGATTGAAATTCTCTCCGTGAATGAGCTCACCATCCAGAAGATCTGTGATTTAGTATGAGGAACAGATAGTTAAATCTCAACGCACAAAATTATCCATTCTTGCAGCCCATCCTAGTTCTGTTAAATGGTTGACCAACAAAGCACTGAACTTTCAATTAGATAGAACTCGTAAAATCCAATCCCCCAATGCATCAAATGCACCAAGTTTTTTCTCTGAAACACTGGATTGAAACCCCCCCAATTGCCTAGCTTTCCCACCAATGGATAACTCTCAAGTTCCCGCACAAAAGACGCAAACTTTCGTTCGTAAATCCACAACCCAAGTCCCAGCGATTCCCCATAATGATCACTTTATCATTTGAAGTCGAGACCCTTTCCAGTTTCCACCAAACCTTTAATAGACAGACCATACCAAGAATAGACTAATGAAACTAATAGTAAAGGCTGCAATTCTAACATCGCAAAGTTCAACAGCTGAGTTAGGAATTTCAATCGATTGACCTGTGCAAGCGGCCTGGAGGAGCGGCGTGGCGTCGACCCAGACGGTGTTAGGGCTGGCGGGAATGGTAGAGGATAGCGGTAGAGGAGAACGGCGGCCCATCGACGGCTCTGCTTGCTCCGCCGGAGTACTGTTCCAGTCCATTAATCAATCTTCGCCGCGAGGGAGACTGCGTTAGTGACCTGATGTTCCCTTTGGTTTGCGAGACCAGGAGAAAACAGAGCCAAAGCTTTCGCAAAACTGTGAGCTGAAAGCCGGAAAAGTGAAAACTGTAGCGTCCAGCGTTTTATTAGGGCATCTACTTTCCGGGTCGGGTAGATCTTAACTGATTGAACTGAATTGAGTTTGTTTGGGTCATGGATTTGGGACTAAAATTCTAAGCATGATGAATTTTAGCCAAATTCATTGTTTGTTGTTAGGTGTTAAATTTGTGGGGTCCACGGTTTTGTTCCCTTTTTTGGATCTAAATCCGTGGACGACTTGTAAATCTCACATATTGGGGTGGGATTTGTAAATCCTTGATAGCTAGTTATATTTATAGCAAATCCATCATAATTATATCATCAAATCTATCATGCAAACAATAGACTCTTCAAATCCATGATGGTACAAATCCCTCATAAATTCAAAGGTTTTTTTGAGCCAAAACCCTCATTTTTCAAATCCAACAAGCAAACGACCTAGTTTTCAACAAGCAAGATTTGTGTCATTTAACAAAAGATAGTGGTTTGGTTTTGGTGAAAGTTAAATTGATGTATTGTTATTAATATTATGCATAATAGTATATATGTATATAAGAAAATTAATGTATTGTAGTTATATTGTTTTGATTTCTCTCATAGTTATCATAGTATTTAAATAAGATACATTGCTTTTTGAATAAAATGCCAATTTGACCCTTTGTTTTTAATATAAAAAAGAGCAAAACACATCTAAAGGTAGGGACATAGTTGGAAGAAAAAAAAACTCCAACAATCTCAAACAAACAATCTCGACAATCTCACAAAAAAACTTAAGATTTAACTATCACTCATTTTGAGTGATAGTTTGTGTCGCGTCAAGTAAACAATAATGCATAGATTGTTTGTGCAGAAATTTCAAAAATAACGTCGTTTGGAAGTTGCGATTGTTAAATAGATGTATTGTTGAGAATGCATGTATAATATTATACATGTATTGTCGAATTTGATGCATTGTAGAATACAACGTTTGGTATGTGTGATTGTGTATGTCGCATCAGCTAAAAGCTGAGACAAAACAATCTCAACTCAACTATCTCAACAATCACAACTAAAAGTTGAGATATAACAATCACTCAAAATGAGTGATAGTTTCTGTCACATCACAGAAACAATCCATGTATTGTTTCTGCTAAAAAAACAAAAAAACGATGCATTGTAAACAATACATGCATAATGACAATCTCAACAAAACTATCGCAACTTCCAAACGACCCCGTACGATGCATTGTGAACAATGCATGTATTGTAACTATTTGGTCCCCACCAAACTATTACCAAAACCAAACGACCAGAGTTTCGGATTCGTACTTCGACATGTAGATTTAGTGACGAAGTTAGGTTAAAACGAGGAGGGAGTATAAATAGAGTTTTACACGTAAAAGTTTAGCAAAAGGGTAGTTGAAATTTATACAAACTTCTATCATCCAACACTTTGCATGTCATATAACTAATTTTGTATGTAGAATTTTACGAAATAGACTAATAGAGCAATGGTAAGGCCTCGACCCCCTCTTAATTTTGAAATATAAGTAAAAATTACATACAAAATTCGTAACAAACTTAAGAAATAGAGTAGTCAGTAAGAACTTAATTAGCCCCCTCCCTCCCCCCCTCCCCCAATTACCATTTACCACGGTTCAAATCAACTTCCTTCATTTAGATTTCAGACTCTGCTACTCTATGCGTTCCTGCTATATCTCAACACAGTGTTTATCGTGCGTGTCAGGACCAATCTCCCTAATCCCTAGCTCTTTCACTTGTAAAAAAAAAAAGTCTAAATAATGCCGAATAAGAAATATCTACAAACTTCCATCATCCCACGCAAGTAAATAAGCGAATCTAAAAACTTGAATCGTGGTTGCAATCGTGAATAGTAATGTATAATTGAATAGGAAAATTCATCAACTTCTCTCTGTGATCAAATGTATGTATCAACGTGAACTAAATTTTTTTTGTATAGGTCACATGTCAAAGACTCAAAAAGTTCAATAACTAGGCGAGCCGAACGTTAAGTCTCCTAAGCCAAATCGAGTGAAGCACCATATGCAACACATCAAACGGCTTGGCCGGCCGGTTCAGCTCAAAATGTCGCCTCACCTTCACCACATTCCTCTGCAACTTCAAGTACTTTTCCTCCGTAACATCCCTCAAAATGGTCTTGATCTCCGGTATCCTCTCCACCGGAATCTCGACGGAGAACTGGGTCCAATCCAAAACGTCGTCGAATGGCAGGCTGTAGTTCACCGAAAGGATCACCGGAACGCAGCCGGCGAACATGGCCTCCACCAGCCTCGGGCTCGCCACCTCGTACCCGCTCGGACAGAGGCAGAACTTGCTCTGGCTCATCAGTTTCATGTAGTCCTCTCCCTTGTTCAAGTACTCGTGAACCCTAATCTCTGTGTCGTTTTTGTCCTTCCAGTGGTCCAGCAACATCTTCCGAATGTACCTGTTAACATGCAAACCACTTAGTATCAATAACTCGAGTTGTCAGAAAAATTGGTGAAATTTAATTCGGAAATATCAAATTCATTTGTTTTATCTTCCACTCCCAATAAAATGCAACGAGATCTAGCTAATATGAGTTGGCGATCAGAAAATATAAGGGTAGAATTTTGTATGAGATTTTATCTCTTACACATCCCCCTAAACGAAATCTCGTTTGTAGGGTTTTTACTTTTTAGATTTTACAAGTTGAACATGTCATCCTTTGTGCTTAGAGGTGTGCAACGGTTCTGTTTGGTCCGGATCATACCTTATGAGAATCGCGATCCAATAATGAAAGACATCGTTGAACGAAGAACAAGACCAACATTGCATGCAATCCAGTTTGATCTAGTCCAAATGACATTTCGGTCCGGTTTGATTCGGTGCAAATGACAATTCGGCCTACTTTTTGGTACTTATAAAATTTATTGGACCGATAAATAAGATCACTTTATATTCGGTTCAATATGGTCTGATCCAAACATCAATTTGGTCTTGTGTAGTTTCGTACAGACCAAACCGTTGCACACCCCTACTTGTGCTAAACCATTGTTTATATTAATGACCATAGTAAAAATTTGAAACGATGATCTCTAAGAGGAAGATTCTAATACCATTTTTTGACCAACAAATCATTTAGTTCAAATAACTTGAGTAATTTTTATGAACAAGGATCTAGTTTAGTGGTAATACCACTAGTCTAAAAACTCGAGATTCCAAATTTAAATCCATTAAGGAGTACCTTAATAAAAGAAAATTTATATCACCTTATAAAAAAAACTCGAGTAATTTTTGGGAAAATGGTTTGTATGGATTTATATCTTTAACGTACCCGTGTGACCCGCCGGCGAAGAAGGCCAGCGTCTTGCAGGTTCCCGGCGACTCCTCGTCCTGAAATGGAGGGGTAAGTCTGTCCGGCGGAGTGTTGAGCTCCGGCATCGCCACGTCCCGAACCGGGCGGAACCCTTCCGACGTGTTGGCGTTGCAGAGGACCCTTACGACGTTCTCGTACAGCTTCGGGTCGTGCCGCGGCAGCTCCGGCGCCCAGTCGTGGCACGAGAGCATGAAGTGGTCGGCGCCGGAGCTCCGATTCCAGTACGGGTGCTTCGCCGCCGCCACGTGGACGACGTAGTCCCTGAAGATTCTGACGAGCCGGCCGCGGTCGTAGGTGGTGAAAGGGTGGTACACGTAGGTGATGATGTTGGCGATGCTGACGGGGAGGAAGAATGCGTGGGCCTCGTCGGGGCTTTGGGCCGCGAATGGGCTTTGGGCTGCGCTGTCGATCTCGTCGATGAACTGGCCCTCGATTGAGTAGATGTTCTTCATGGGCCCGACGTGGACCACGGGCCTCTCGCCTTCTTTGTAGGTCCATATCTTGAATCTCTTCACCATCTCAATGTGACTCCTGCGTTAGAGAGGGAAAGTGAAAGAGAGTCAGATTTTTACTTGTGTTGGTGTGAAACAATTTTAACCATGATAAATATGAGAGAGTTAAAAGCGTTATCAATTACTCTGATTCCTAAAACTAGAATATAACTAATGTATTTCAATGCGTGGTTAATTACAATCGTAGGCTACTCGTAACTGACAATTCATATGGTACAGTAAAATTGATCGAAAATGCACCTATGACAAGTTGTCTTATACTTACTTATTGCTATTTAGTGAAAGAATTATTTTTTGAAGTTATCTGAGAGAGTTTAGAATTGTTGGTCACATTAAATGGTCGACCTAAAGATTAGTGTGAGCGAACTTTTCACACTCACAAAATCAATCGTTTGATGATCTGGTTGATGTGTATCACCATATAAAAATGTCATCTACAACTATATATCATGTTACATGCATCTTCAATTGATAACATCTATCACTCACACAAATGACAACACGTGCTACCTATTCAGTAGATTATGATGAAATATGATCGAGCACGATTATTCCCAATAATCCAACTAACTATTACTTAGATGTTTGATTCAAAGTTGCCATAAAACTTCAAACCTACTAGTACTACTAATCCCAAATTGATTTTCACATGTTGAGTACAATCGTGACAAATGGGTAGAAAAGAAAAGATGTCACTTATTTGAATCTTCGTGGTCGTTTGGAAGTTGCGATAGTTTTGTTGAGATTGTCATTATGCATGTATTGTTTACAATGCATCGTTTTTTTAGCAGAAACAATACATGGATTGTTTCTGTGATGTGACAGAAACTATCACTCATTTTGAGTGATTGTTATATCTCAACTTTTAGTTGTGATTGTTGAGATAGTTGAGTTGAGATTGTTTTGTCTCAGCTTTTAGCTAATGCGACATACACAATCATACATACCAAACATTGTATTCCACAATGCATCAAATTCGACAATACATGTATAATATTATACATGCATTCTCAACAATACATCTATTTAACAATCGCAACTTCCAAACGACCCCTTCAAGTAAAGGAGGGTTTCATCTTATTTTATTTGGTTAAGCACTTAAGCATTTTGCTTAAATTCGAAATGCTGACTTCTCAAAGTTAGAAGAAGAAGAAGAAAAGTTCATGGCGTATTTCTTAATCCCAGAACGTGTTGATTAATTTTCCAATTAGCCGTGATCAAAGACGACGAGTCAACTTCAATTCTACACATTCCCCATATCATACTTTCCCAAAAAAAAAAAACTGAAAATTAGGATTCACAAGAAATCTAAATTATGGAGCAGTAATTAGAGACGAACTTAACTGGTGAAACCCATAAGCGTTCCTGTAGAGACTGCCTCTGGGGACGAACGTCTCATCTCTATCAGAAGTGTAATTCTTGCTCCTAATCGCCTCCTTGATCGCCTTCCTGGCTGCCGCCAATCCGGCCTCCATCCTCTCCAACCCATTACCGCAACTGGAATTACTCTACAGCAATCCAGTTAAAATCGCGATTTAAAACTTAAAAACTTACGCTTTTACACTTTTAAGTCAATAAAGCGCTTTTAAGTAGAATCACACTTTTCTCTTATAAATGTAGTCAAAATCTATGCTTTTAAAACTTAAAATCTTACGAATTTACGATTCCAGGTCATCAAAACGTTTCTACGTAGGATCGCCATTTTGACTGCATTGCTCTATAGGCATGGAGGATCAGCAACTCACCTTGGCACGGACGACTGAAACGTGGTCGTCGTAGTAGTTTGTTCCGTCGTGGGGAGGAGAGGAGAATGGAGTAGTGGTATTGTTGGTGAGAGTTTGGTTTGGGGAAGGAGAAGGTGATGAACTAGTGCAACAAGGGAATGGGATTAGGGAGTTGGTTATTGGTGAGTTTAAGGTGGAGAGGCAGAGAAGGAGGAGGAAGAGGAAGGTTGAGCAGAGGATTGGGATTGAGTATGAAGAAGATGGAGATGGAGAAGAGGAGGAAGAAGAAGGAGGAGAGGTGTCATTGATGGACTTCTCCATTAATGAGCCTTTTTTGTGCTTCCTTTTGGTGGTGTTTATGGAGGAGGTTTTGGTGAATGGTACAGTTTGTAGTTTAAGGATGAGATGGGAGAGGGAGAGAAAGGTAAGTGTGATTATGGAAGGAGGAAAGAAGGTTTAAGGTAAGCTTATAGTTAATTGTGGTAATTTGCCAAGGGGAATTAACAGTCACCATTACGAGATCACCGTGATGATGGGGCAATGAATCTGGTCATTGGTTGTGGAAGGTGTTCCTATATTAACAAGACTCTAGTTAAACTGACTATTCTGGATCGGGTTGATATTAAAAGTCGAGTAATTATAAACAGAAAGTGAGACCAACAAGTCGATCAAGTGAACTATGAATTTGATAAATATACAATTTTTTTTTAACTAGATTCGGATTTGCTACTGTAAGGGTTGTGATTATAGAGATCATTATGGACGACGAGATCAACTTGAATCAGGTTGGACTGGATAAGTCAAAACAGGTCGAATTGTCTTGAGATTATTCAATATATGTTATGAGAAAACCTTTTACCCTAGTCAAAATTTACCGCAGTATTTTCATCTATTTTCTTGTGATGAAATTGGAATATACTATGTATGGGCCTTTTTCACCATATATTGTAATTTGGTCATATTTGTCATGTTTTTCCCCCTTCTTTATCATGACATCTTTATATGATGTGGATTGACACTCAAACCTCTAATAAACCTCTATATAAATAAACTCCCATAATTAAATATTTTATGAAAACATAAGAATGGTTCTATTAATGCACAAATTTGAGAAATTTACTTTAGTGTATAGACTACGATATAATAATGCACAAAGGTAACGTAGAATGATAAGAAAGCGTAGAACTTTATGGAGTTTAAGCATTCTAATCAACATTTTTTCCCCGAAAAAATAGCTTGCATTAAACAAGAACACAAAGTTACAAGGATTGTGACCAAAGTCACGCACGGAAATGAAACTCAATACAACCCGCAGGAAATAAAGAAAGGGCCTTCTTATACACCATATGGGCTACCCTATTATTCTGTCTACCCACAAATTGAACCCTAAACCCTGGGGACATCGAAAGAAGATGGTGAATTTCCTCAAACAGAGCTTCACCTACAGCAGCACGAACATCCCCGGCGTTAACCTTGTCAATCACAATCTTGGTGTCTACCTCAATCGTTACGACCTCTACGCCACGATGTTGACACCACCTAATCGCGTCGTAAAGTTGATAATTCAACAAGCATCGGATTCTGAAGACCGGGAAACATCAACCCTTGTGCCGCAACCACCGCACCACCCTCATCTCTTAAGACCACTCCACCTGCCGCATGGGACCCCTCACGGACTGCCCCATCAAAGGAACATATCACACCGCCAAAAGGACCATCAACCACAACAACATGATCAACGCCAAGACCTACCGAGGGCTCACCCACACCATTCCCATCCTCATAGGGAAGTTGTTCCCACTCAGAAACTTGATGTAGAAACTCCTGCCGGAGAATACTTGGGAGAGTCTGTTGTCCCTCAAAGACAACGAAGTTCCTCCCCTTCCATATTCTCCACAATAAGCACATCAACCGCACAACACGCATTTGGGACGCATCTCGATCCAGAAATCGCCTGAAAAATATGTTAAAACACCCCATCGGCAAAGCATCTAGCTCGGTAGCAAGCCCTGCATCCTCCCACAATCCTCTCACAATCGGACAATGCAAAAAGAGATGTTCAGTGGGCTCCTCTGGTGCCCAACACACCGGACACCGCACAAAGACCTGCAACTTTTTCTCACGCAATGCCTCCATCGTGGGCAAGATCCGCCTCAAGAGCTCCCACACAAAAAACTTAAACTTCGGCTGAACGGGCATATCCCAAACCTTAATCCATAGCGTTCCATTCTAATCAACATAATAATAACATTGATTATTAAAACCTTAATATTCATGACAATCTATATTGTGCGATACATTTTGGGCTGAAAAGCCCTTGCTTGCCCTCCTCACTTGTGGCCTTTTGGGTCGACGAAGGCCCATTGATCTTGGGATTAACTGCGCACAGCCTACATAAGATATAGGTATAAAAGAAAGTAACAAAATATTTTAATGTCCGTTTGTTGCCCACTAATCGGGATTCGAGATTAATTATGGTTGCCGGTGATAAATACCATGACGACACATCAAGTTTATCTTGTAATTTTTTGACGGAAATACTCCCTATATGAGTGAAGTTTTTGTCTGATTGATCCAATCTTTTGTTTGATATCCAACTCATGAATTCACCTACCAGAAGGACATTTGATTTGACACTTTTCGGAGCTTGTAAAGCTCCAACATTTTCCTCAGTTTACTCCAACTTACAACACAAAACCATTGTGATGCTGGCAAAGCATATGTGAGAACGTGCTCACTATTTGTGATGAGAGACCAAATGTGTTGGGTTAGCCGTAGGGTTACGTTGTATGAGTTGGGGGATTAGTGGATCTAGCATGTTAGTAGTTAGTATGGGTTATGTGTTTTGGGTTATAAATGTGGGCTTCGTAGTTATTGGCCGATTAGGAGTGCTGTTCTAGGTGCGGCCGAGTCGGCTAGAGTAGTAGTAGGGCTTGGGGGTTAGCTAGGTGTTTACGTATTAGATTTATTTCTTATAAAATTACGTAAGTTCGACAGTAGTTCCGCGATCTAATCAATAAATAAAAAGGTTTATCCACACCAACGCCGCGTTCTCTCTCGCTCGTTAGTTACAAGCAAAAACCCTCGAAACCGTGTGGCCTGTATGGGTTACCAGTTCATCAATTTTGCCTGGAGTCCGTCGCCGATCGCGCGCCCGATATCAACACTACTCCGACTTTGCCCACATTAGGTACGTATACGAATCAATCCAACAGTCACGAATACTAGTACAAAAAAATGGGTTTCATTCATGTATTTTCCTATTATTATCTACTTCTTGACTTGTTTCTGTTGTTGTACAACCAACACAGAAGTCTTAGTCTCAAGATCCGGAGAAGCCAACAAATCCCCAACCACTCCCAACTCAGGGAACTCACTCCACTCTGTCAACCCCATGGTCTGCTTCGAGTCCAGCCCGTGCCTCCTTCCAACCACGAACAGATCATGCTCGTTCGCGATCTCTCGAACCAACAACGCCGTCTGCGGCCCATCCTCGACCGCATGTTCCTCGTACCTCACATTGGCCAGCCCAGAAATCCCCTTCATTGCCTCCTTCAGCACCACCTCGTCGTACAGCCTCTCGCTCGCCATCCGTGCGTTCCTCCTCCGGCTCACGCTCATGTCATCGTCGTCGTCGTCGCTCGGGACCAAGTGCAAGATCGTGAGCCTCAGGCTCGGCTCCCTCGCCGCTCGCATCGCGAAGCACAGGGCCTCGTGGTCGTCCCCGCCTCCCATGTAGATCACGCACACCGAGTAGAAATGATCGGGTTGATCATCACCACCGTCTGATGTAGTCTGTCTGGAAACGAAGCTCCCTCGGTCGAAGAAGATCCCGACGGAGCAGGGAGCTCGTTCCAGGACCTTGGAGTTGACGATTCTGAACGAGTTGTCCGCGCACTCGACCCGCCCGTCGGCACCCCACTTGACGTGGAAAGGGAGGAGGAGGAGCGAAACCTCCTTGTCGAGGGCGAGGGTGCAGATGTCGTCCGACATGAACCTGTGGTGGGAGATCGACGTGAAGGTGCCGACCGTCGTCGTGGTGGCCGCCGCGTGGGGGGTGCCGATGTGCTGCTGCTGGCTCCGCCGCTCGTACTGGTTGAACGCGAGGATGACGTCGATGGAGCAGGAGTCCGAGACGGGCTTCTGCTTCTGGTGTGACACGAACACGGGCGTGGCACGACCCACGAGCTCGACGAGGTGGAGGGCGTAGACCCCTAAGGGGTTGTCCTGAGTAGGGCAGGTCAGGTCGAGGAGGTTGATCGTGGAGATGATGTGGTCGGGCTTGTATATGCACGGGAGGACCCTCAGCTCCGTCCTGGGCTTCAGGCTGAAGAGGTTCCTCGACTGGTACCCCGCGTATTTCCTCGACGGATCGTAGAGGTGCTTTATCAGGATCGGGATTATGACGGTGTTGATGAAAATGGCTACCACGTTTAGCGAGAAGTACCCTTCATTTATCGACTGCAATCAAGAGTCGAGGTATTAAGAGTCAGTATGCGCAGCAGTATAAGATTTATTATTGAATCTCTCCCAACAACTCGAGTTATTGGTGTAAAGACCAAGTTGATCCCAATAACTCGAATTATTGGGAGAGGTTCAATGTGAATCATATATTGTTTACTAACACCCCCTTCAAACTCAAGTCATTCAAATAGGCTTAGAGTTTGGAGAGGCACAAGTCCAGACACCGTGTGCTTAACAAAAACAAATGGGGTCAATGAGAATCAAACAGAAGACCTCATTGTCACAGAAGGTTTTGATACCATATTAAAAACCAGTTGACCTCAATAACATGAGTTGTTGAAAGAGGTTGAATCCTGCATCATATACTGTTTACTATAACAATTGGGACGAGGACCAACTGGTTACTGTCACGAGAAAAGTACAAACGTACCGTGGTATCTCTATGAAAAGTGTAGACACTAAGCTCGTAGACGCCTTTGGAGCACATGATGAGGGAAAGAACAACAGAATCCCTACGAGGCATCCACGGCAGCGACAGGAACAGGCAGACGAGGAACTTGGTGACCGTCGCCATCACCAGCGAGCTTCCGTAATACCCCTTGTTGTCGAACTCCCAGAAGAAAGACGCCAGATCTCCTCTCATGACGGCGGTGACGACGAACAACGGGAAGAAAACGGAGGTGGTGACGGTCTCCATGGACTGGACCACGGCGGAGCCCAGAGGAGGCCCGGGAGGGACCGCCAGGCCCAGGACAAAAGGCCCCATCGCGGGGGACTGGTTCATGGCGTCGAAGAAGATCTCGTACACCACGGCGACGGCGAACAGGAGCGGGACGCAGGCCGGGTGGACCTTCTGGCCCTCGGGGGTCTGGCCGATGACCCAGACCATGATGGGCCTGAGCACGAAGGCCGCGAAGAGGGCCGAGCCCAAGGTCAGGCCCGCGTTGAGGATCCCCCGGATCTGGGTGATGATGGTGGCCCCGAGCTCGAGGGAGGCCGCGACGATGCCCGAGATCAGGGATGTGGACAGGGCCAGGCGGCCCAGCTCGGTGTTGGTGAGCTTGAGCTCGGTCATGAGGTGGGAGACGACCGGGAACGTGGTCATCGATTGGATCGCGGTCGAACCGATTATTTGCATCCGTTCGAGCAGACCGGGAGCCGCCTCGATCCGGGTGAACTGGAACCCTAGGCCGATCATGTAAGGGAGGAGCACCGTGGCGATTCCCAAGATCATGACTTTGCGGCCGGACCGGAGCAGCATCCCGAAGTCCATCTTGACGCCGGTGAGGAACATGAACATCGAGTAGCCCATGTTTGCGGTGACGACGAGGGCGTCCTGGCTCTTCTGTGGGAAGATGTGGTCTCTGTAGTAGTCGTATTTGGCCAGGATAGTTGGCCCTAAGATCACCCCTGCCTGTAGGTGACAAAAAGAAGGGGGAAAAAATACTCTGTTCAGCCACAATTTACATTAGTTCACCTAATGTTACAATTCATGAAATCCTGATCTCATGAAATTAGAAATGTGACCGAAATTGAATCTCGTAAATTTCATCTCAATTCGAATTATCTGTTTCCACTTCAAACAATTGAATTTGACTTAAAACCGATCAAATTCAAAATATATCAGACAAATTGATTCATCCAAATTTTTTACTGACAATGTGGTACAATTGTGACAAAAAAAGAAGAAGGAATTCAACGACGAAACACTATGTTGAATGAAATGCGAATCGTACCAGGCACTGGGAGGTGAAGGAGATGATGCCGAGGCGGTGGAGGAAGAAATGGAGCAGGTTACTGAGGATGACGATCATGAGAATCTGGATGTTGAGGAGCTGCACGGTGCCGGTGAAGAAATCGTCGAGCGGGGGGACGCCGAGCCGCTCGGCGGGGGAGAAAACGCCGCCGGACCGGAGCCTTGCCGGGAAGGTGTAGCAGACCTGCTCGTTCGTAAACGAGACGTTCGATGCAACCTTCGACATCTCGTCGCCGGCTGAGATCGAACGCCGTTGGGAAAAAGGATGGATTCTCTGCTGCTGCTTGAGACTTGTTTTGGTTTGGATATGGAAATAATTGAATGAAACCCTGAGTAACAGGAGATAAAAGAACAGTTTTCCGTTCTTTTACCTCCTGTCACCGCGAGGAGGAGAAAGGAGAAGGAGATCGGGTTGAGGTGCGGAGAATGGAGGAAGGGAGGCATCATGATGGTGGTGGTTTTATACCGGAGGGAGGATCGGAATCGAGGCATGGCGGACATTTTTTTTTGCTGTTGTGAAAATGGCCGGATGGGTAAATTTCTGTCGCCCGCAAGCTGTTTGTTGAAATGCCAAGCTGAGTTTAATTTCTGATCGGTGGCCGTTTAGGGCGGCGTGCGATTTTTACCAATTTCAGGACAACGTAACTAGAAGTACGGGTTTGCATTTCCTTGTATTGATACGTGAATGTGGAGGTTTAACAGCAAACGAGATATAATTAGTAAAGGTTGGTAGAGCTAAATTATATCGAAATTGATAGTTTATCGGTACGTAGTACTTATCGTAAAAGGAGTTATATAGTGTTGTATTATGAGAGGTTATACATAAACAAACTCAAATCTGATTTATAACCTACATAATCTTACCATTTGTATCATATTGTAATTGTACCATCATCCTACAATATCATAAAAGGGGTTGTGTAGTGATGCATAAACAAGAATTATGTATCTTACCTCGAATCGTTGTTATCCTGACCTCCTCATCTTTTTTCAATAACGAAGAAAGTTCCGTCATTCGTTTATGCAACAACTAGTTTTCCTATCGTCTTAATGAAAGTATGAAAGTTGAACATTTAGATAAACAATTAAATCCTCCTTGTTTTTTAAGTGTATAACATATCTAACCAAATTAAAGCAACCCGATATTGATTTCATGGTCTACAAACTACATGTGGATTGAAGAAGTGAACTTTTAGGCTTTCATTAAGACATATGCATGTCGGATTTCAAAAAATTGTACATAGAAATATCAGTTTTTTACTTTACAATATGACATCCATTTGATATTTTTGGAACGAAATATTTCAGGTAATCATACTCATACCACTATCATACCATGAGATTTTCAGTGATAGTGGTATGATATGATATGATAGTAGTACAAATGTACAATGTTGATATGATATTGATATAATGTTGGTATAAGTTTTGTATTTGTCAAAATAATTTGATGACATCATATCCTTGTCTTATTATGATATTATCATTATAACTTACTGATAATATTATAATATAACACTGATACGATATTGGTACGACAATGATATGTTATGATATGATGTTGTTATGATGTTTTTTGTTTGACAAAACATAACAAAATGGATATTATTGTGTAGATCTTAACTAATGCATTCTTTCTAAATAAAATTTTTTAAATTTTGAGTTGAAAAGACGAAGATGAGTCATCATATCACTCTCATATCATTATGATATGATAAATATGACATTGCTAATACTACAAACGGCACATGTTTTGAAGAGCTATTTTTTTCTTTGCTCAAAATATGGCAAAATGGATGTCATTGTATAGGTCACAATTAATGCATTCTTTTATGATTTTTAAAATTCACACTGGTCGTCTTGTTTTTTTTTTTTTTGTTGAAAATTGTTCTAGACTTGGTGAATGATGGAGTTTTGTAGTGATTTCTTAGGAAAGGATTTTATATCCTATCCTCTCTAAAAATAGATCATATGGTTTCATGAGATAATAAGAGCTGCAATTTATTCTTTATTGAGTTTTTTCTCATATATTTTTCTCATACAAGATATTGCATATCATCACTAACAATGAAGATAATAAATTTGTGGGGAACATATCCAAAAGATATACGATTATTTTGGAAAGCTAATATAATATAAGATTGTCAAACTTGTTTAAACATGAAGTAGTATGTTATAATCGGAGTACAACATATTTATATCAATTTCAGTTTTAACAAATATGTGAGGAAAGTGTGAAATATATTTAAATTAAAATACAAACATTTATAAATAGAATGACAAGTCCTCATATTTGAATACAAAATATAATGCAAAGATTCAGGCGTTTATATTTGAAGACGATTCAATTTAGATCATTTTCCTTTTTTATTTATTTCATTACACAGTCTAAAAAACGACTACTTTTTCTTGAGGAGTCAGGAGTGATCATTTAGATCAAACCGTTCGATCTTAATGGCTGCTTCATATCGAGATCTTCCAGTCGGGTTGGTAGACAATCATACCGGTTGAACCAGCCAACATGAAATCGATTGGACAACCATCGTCTTACTCTCACCAACTAGTTAGCCCTTCGAAGTTTTGCAGGGTCAATGACATGGATGGCATTGTCACGAAAATCAACTCACGAGATTGAAGCAAAATGAAGCAAGTAATATTTCCAATTGGACTACAATAGATTTACATCGTTTTAACAAAATATGCGAGGAAAGCGTGAAACATATTTAAATAGAATGACAAGTCCTCAAATTTGAAAGAAAAAAAAAAAGTTCAATTGCTGCTTGAGTTCCTTGCCGGATGTTTCTGTATTTTCAAGAAGCCATTGATTCCTTTTGGAGTTCCATCGTAGCTATATAAACACCAACCATTTCCCACTTCCAAAAAACAGAGTACCAAAAAGCAGAGTACCAAAAAGCAGAGCAAGCATGGAGATCAATGCTTCCATATACTTGTCCATCGTCCTCGTCTTCCTCGCCATAGCTTTCAAATTATCACACCGCGCCAAAAACAACAACCTCCCGCCGCCGCCCAACCGCCGTGCCCTCCCGGTGCTCGGCCACTTGCACCTCCTAACCAAACCCCTCCACCGTTCACTCCACAAACTCTCCCACAACGGCGGCGGCGCATCAACGCCGATCATGCGGCTCAAGTTCGGCTCCCGCCCCGTGGTGGTGGTGTCGTCCGCCGCCGCCGCCGAAGAATGCTTCACCAGCCACGACGTCGTTCTGGCCAACCGGCCGAACCTCATGATGGGGAAGCACATCGGCTACAACCACACCACCATGATCCAAGCGCCCTACGGGGACCACTGGCGCAACCTCCGCCGCATCGGCGCCGTCGAGATCTTTTCCGCCGGCCGGCTCAACAACTTCGCCGCCATCCGGAGGGACGAAGTCAACAGCCTCGTCCTGCGGCTCGCCGCCGGTCACAAGAAAGTGGAGCTGAGGACGATGTTTCAGGACCTGACGTTCAACAACATGATGAGGATGATCGCCGGGAAGAGGTACTACGGCGATGCGATGGCCGCCGCCGGAGAAGACCAGCTGGAAGAGGCGGAGCGGTTCAAGGAGATGATGGTGGAGGTTATGGGCTACGCCGGGGCTTCTAGCAATGCCGATTTCTTGCCCGTCTTGAATTGGCTTGACGGCGGTCGGTTTGAGAGGAAGCTGGCCGGACTTTCCCGGAGACTGGATGAGTTTATGCAGAGGTTGATCGATGAACGTCGTCGAGGCTCCGGTAGCAATGACAACACAACCATGATTGATCATCTCCTGTCGTTGCAAAAGTCCCAGCCGGAGTACTACTCCGACCAAATCATCAAAGGCATCATCCAGGTAACTAACGAATGGGTATTCACTAGGGGTGGGCAAACTATTCGGTAAACCCGAACCGAATCGAAACCGAAATAATGCTATTCGGTTTGGAATTCGGAAGGAAAATATGGATATTTCGGAAATCAGGGTTCTTTCAAACGATCCGAAATTCCGACCGAAAAATCGAAATACTATAATTGCAACCTCCAAATGGTGGATTTTTATATTTGTAGTTGTTTTTAGACTTAAATATTTGAAATGTTTTATGACTTATGTGTTGAAAAGTTTGATTTTATCATTGATGATGCATATAATTGCATATTATTTGTTTATATTAGGGGTGAAAATAATTTAAAAGTGAGAAGATACAAGTAGCCTAACAAATTTGGTTTGAGGTTTGGGAGTATTCGGGGACCCGGTATTCATAATTTCGGTTCGGTCGACCTAATGCCCACCCCTAGTATTCAGCCGTAACTAGTGATGGCAATTTGAACAGCCCCACCAGTATTATCTAACCTGATTCGCGATGGGGTGAGTATTACCTGATCCACAGTAGCGTGAGGTGGGACATGGGTATCTATTTCCGACCCGTCCCGTTATTGGCCCATTCTATATCAATTTCTTACCGTGTCTATTCATATTTCTCCTATTTTGACTATTCTTCAACTATTAGACTCAATCTTTCAACTATTTAGACTTAATGACCCATTATATTATTACTCTTTTCATTCACAAAGTGTTTTCCCCTTCATATTTTCGTAAAAGGTAAAATTTTGCATGTATTTTTTTTCAAATAACATGTAAGAGTGGGTCTACCAGCCCCGACCTGTAGTAGCATGGGGCGGAGCATGGGTATTGCGGTACCCGCCTCGCCCTACCCTGCCCAATTGCCAATATCCCTAGCCATAATCAGCGTTTTAGATGTTATAAACCAATTGGTTTCAATAATTCGAATTGTTAGGAGAAGGTTATTATGGATCTCATACCATACTCTTACACACGCTCTCAAACGAAAGCCACCTCACGGGCTTGAAGTTTGCACAGGCCCATGCCATACTTTGTGCTTTAATCTACCGTTAATATTGAAAGTCGTGAAGATTCGAACAAATAACCACTTGGCCAAACCAGCTCTCCTACTGTTAGAATATGACTTGAATTTTAATTGGGCTTTTGTTTTGTGCTTTGGGCCTACTGTGTTTGGACTTTGTTTTGGTCTTTTCCTCGTAGGTTTGAAAAACGTGTTTGGTTTTCTGTTTGGGATCAGGAGAAGAGTCCTATAAACACTCTTCACCACCACCCTAATCTGTAGTAAGGCCAGTCGGGTCAGTTTGTTTGGTTTGTCCGTTCCGGAATTTGGGGTTTGTAACCTGCGCTCTCTTTCCTCAAATCAGTGAAATTTGTTCTCCCCTGCGCCGTGGATCAGCTGGCGCACACATCGTGTCAGTGAACCACGTTAAATTTGTGTTCGTTCGTGTTGGATTTGGATTATCGATTGCGCACGCTGCTTCTATTCCGACACCTACCTACCATATGTCATAAACGCCAGTTGGTCCCAATAACCTCGAGGTTATTATGGATGTACTGTAGCCACACACTCTTTACACCAGATACTTAACAGTTAACGATTTGGTTTGGGAAATGAAACACAGATTATGTTGCTAGCGGGAACAGACACATCTGCAGTGACGCTGGAGTGGGCGATGTCGAACCTGCTCAACCACCCGGAGATTCTGAGGAAAGCAAGAGACGAGATCGACGCCCAGATCGGGGAAGAAGGTCGCATGGTGGATGAAGTACTGGACCTCCCCAAATTGCACTACCTGCAGAATGTGATCACCGAGACTCTCCGACTGTACCCATCGGCGCCGCTTCTGGTCCCTCACAGCTCGTCCCGGGACTTCACCCTCGGCGGATACCACGTGCCGCGGAACACGATGCTGCTCGTCAATGCTTGGGCCATTCACAGGGATCCTCGGGTTTGGGCCGACTCGACGAGTTTCAAGCCGGAGAGGTTTGAGGGCGGCGGTGGTGATGAACATGGTTGTCCTAAACCGATTCCTTTCGGGATGGGAAGAAGGGCTTGCCCCGGGGCGGGTCTGGCCCAACGGGTCGTCGGGTTGACTCTGGCGTCTTTGATCCAGTGCTTCGAGTGGGAGAAGGTTGTCGAGGAGGACGAGGAGGAGGAGGAAGATATTGACATGGCGGAAGGCACCGGGCTTACCATGCCAAAGCTGATTCCGCTCCAGCTCAACTGTAGACCTCGCCCCATCATCATCCACAAACTGGTTCTTGCTGCATAAATCTCTGTCAAAACTCTGTATTTCATGTTTCTCTATCACGTCTTCTTCTTTCTTCCCCGCACAGTGTTTGTTGTGTGTTTTCCTTCTGGTTTTCATTCTCGTCGATGTCAGAGTACTGATGAACAATAAAATAAAGGAATTCTTCAAGTCTCTGAAGGAAAGACGAACCTCGGGCTTGTAATAAGAGCATCTCCAACAATGCAATCCTTCTTCACTTTCAAGTGTAGTCCCTACCGCCACCTAAACAACTCTAGCAATTATTTCACTCGTCAATTTCATACTAGCTACATCGATGTCATTCCAGTGCAATTGCGCTTCTGGGTCTCACTTACATTTTAATGTCACACAAATGGTTGAGAAAAGAAGAAAGAAAAACAAAAAAAGAAACAAAGAACCCACTTGCAATTGCATATCAGATTTTCATGGTGTGCAAATTTTCACCACATGAAAGTGGTCTTGCATCAATGTCGTCCACTTTTTCGGTTGCACATGGCTGCCACCTCAACTTGCAACTCCCTCCATTTGCACCACCAGAGATGCTCTAAGAACCGTAGGAGTACTCGTCGTTGTTTCTTAATGGTGGGGGTAGTGGGGATGATAAATTTTGAAACATGGAACATACAACGAACCGCAACCTATTCATTTCTGTTGAAATGAGAAGATATATATATATACATAGATATGGTGAAGAACCTGTCGTCACATATTCAACACTAAACATAGTTGCCTCAATTGTGTCAAGCATCGCTTTACGATCAAAGAAATTGAGAAATTACTAGAGGTGGCAATTTCAATCCAATCCACCAATCTAATCCATCAATCCATTAAAAATATCCACCTAATCCAATCCATTTAAATCCAATCCATTTGATCCAAATCCAATTGGATTGGTGGATTCATGGATTGGATCCATGGATCATTGGCAAATTACGGTTTAGTACCTATAATTTTTATTTTTTACATTTTGGTACCTAAAATTTAATTTTTTATACGAAAAATATCATTGGAAAATTACGTTTTGGTACCTAAAATTTTTCATTGTGACATTTTAGTACCTAAACTTTTTACATTTTACATATTGGTCCTTGGTTGAGGATGTCATTTGGATTCATGGATAATCCACCAATCCACTTGATCCAATCCATGAATCCACCAATCCATTAGATCCAATCCATTTGATCCATGGATCCACCAATCCAATCCACCAATCCAATCCATTTGCCACCTTTAGAAATTACCAATATGTAGCCTTTGTCTTAACGATGATATATAGTGTTGTACAATCAGAGATTATACATCGGAGAACTCAAATCACATGACCTACATAACCTTACAATTTATATCACATTGTACTAACGCGGTACAATATCATAAAAGAGGTTATGTAGTGATGCATATAAGCAAGGGTTATGCGTCGAAGCTCGATTTGTCGTTATCCTGCCTCCTCCTTCTTCAATAAAAAAAAATGTTTCAAATCCATCAGCTAGTCTCCTTATTTTCTGAACCAAAATTGAACAATTCACTTACGATTAGATGCCCCTTTTCTTTAAGTATATAATGTATCTATCTCAATGAAACTAAACCCAAAATTGATTTCATGGTGTCTACAAAAACTACATAGTGATTGAAGATGTGAACTTTCATTAACACATGGATTCAAAGTTTTACCATCCCAACCAACTCAACTTCCCTCGTGATCCAAATCAATAATTACAACCTAACATTCAACCTCCTCAACCACAAAGAATGAAGCACCATGTGAAGCAAGTCGTACGGCCTCGCCGGCCGGTTCACCGCAAAATGCCTCCTCACACCCTTCACCCTCCTAAACAACTCCAAGTACCTCTCCTCCGAAACACCTCCCAAAATCGCCTTGATCTCGCCGATCCTCTCCACCGTCACCGTCACCGTGAACTCGCTCCAGTCCAGCACCTCGCCAAACGGCAGCGAGTAGTTCCTCGAGATCAGAACGGGGACGCAGCCCACGCTGATCGCCTCCACGATCCTCGGGCTCGCCACCTCGTGGCCGCTCGGGCACAGGCAGAACTTGGCTCGGGCCATCCTCGACATGTAGATCGACCGGTCGGGGAGCCGCTCGATGACCTGGACGTCGCGGTCCTTGCCGTGCCAGCGCTCGAAGAGGAGGCGGCGGATGTGGCCGTGGATCCCGCCGGAGAAGAAGGCGAGGGTGGTTCGGTTCGACGGGTCGGAACCGCCCGGTTCGACCGGGCCGAGTCGGCCGTAGTCGAGGAAGACCTCGGGTAGGGAGGCGTCCCGGGCGGGCCGGAACCCTTCCGAGGTGTTGGCGTTGCAGAGGACCCGGATTAGTTTCGAGTAGAATTTCGGGTTGTCTTTAGAGACGTCTGGTGCCTGAAAGTGATGAAAGATAATTAATTGGTCACATGAAGTTTCCAATTTCTTCTACATAAAATTTTACCTACAAACTAAATTTGTATCATAACGTTAAAAGTAGGTTCAGTTTGTATCATAAAAAAATTTGTACGGAAATGTACGGATACAAACTAAATTTGTATCATAATGTTAAATTTTTTTATTTCATTTTGTAGTTTGTACCATAAAGATATAAGGAAATGCATGACCGTACTTCTAGTTACATTTCAGTAATAATTGTTGTTGGATCATTAAAGAAATTGTATGAAAATATATAAGTATACTATAACTCTAAAGGTGCAAGTTGAGTTTGTACCGTAAAGAAATTTGTACGAAAAATATAAGTACAAACTGAATTTGTATTGTAACGTTAATTAAAATATTAAATTTGCGTTTGTATCCGTTGTTTTTAAGAAAAACACCCATATTATGAAACATTGTAAAATTCATGATGACACAATGGACAAAACTTGTATTGCAAGTAATCATTTGGTTAAAGGGATATTAATAATTAAAATGAAATTTAAGCAATGCATAATTCTTAATTAGGTCATTATAATCAAAAGAGAGGAATTAACGTTTTACCCAATCATGACACGACACCACGAAGTGGTCGGCGCCCTGAGACCGATTCCAGTACGGGTACTTCCCGGCGACGATTCCGACGTAGTCGTCGACGATCCGGTGGAGCCGGCCGCGGTCGTAGTCCTTCTTGGTCAAGACGGGCTGGTAGATGAAGTGAATGATGGAAGCGACGCTGACGGGGATGTAGAACATATGGGCCTCGTCCGGGGTTTGGGCCCTAAATGGGCTTTTCCCGCTCTCCATCTCGTCGAGGAACTGGCCCTCGATGGAGTAGATGTTGGTCATCGGAGCCCGATGGACCAAGGGCCTCTCGCCTTCTCTGTAGGTCCATATCTTGAACCTCTTCACCATCTCTATGTGGCTCCTAGAAACCCAAAATCGAAAAATCCCAACAACAAAGTAGAGTGAGTGAGTGAGTTTGTTAGGAAAATTTGTGATCTCGAAGTAACTAACTCGATCTCTATGTCTAGGGGGATGTGTGGAACGGTTCGATAAGATCCGATCCAAACTCATGACGAGAATCGAAGTTCGGTAGTGAAAGACGTCTTTAAATTAAGGATCAGATCATTCTTATGTTCGTTCGGATTTGCTCCGATCCAGATGTCAATTCAACCAGTTATAAACTGTTGTACGCCCCTATCCATGCTCATAATAAACCATGTCAAACCTAAAAATATTGGTAAGCTCTAATAGAGTAAATAGTTGAAATACCCACTAGAATAACTTAGGGTCGATTGGATGCATTATTTTGATTCTGTGGTATCTTCATGTGGTATTTCAGTTTAGAATGTGGTAATTGGTCTAATTGTCTTGTTTGGATAAAAAATTCAAATATTGTGGTCTTTCACCATTTAAAGAAGGAATGATGGCGGGGAAAAAAATTGAGAGATGAGTTATTATTTGAAATAACTAGGGGGTGGGTCGGTATTTCAAATAACTTCCAATGGGTTATTTCAATCGTCGTCTCATCGAGAAAAACACTACCTTCCATTCTGCTTTCTGAGTTATTTCGGCAGAAAATACCTCATCAAAACACTGCATCCAAACAATTGTAAACATAACTTATAATGTTCTGAAGGAGAGACTACTCTATTCGATCTTAAACTCGTATAATTTTCATGTCAGCTCAATGTTTTAACCACCACGGAGATACTATAATCTTATATTTTCACGATACCATCTGGAAGATTCGTTTACTCGTGCAGAATTCAACAATAAAATCAAATCAATGATGGAAAAAAATGATGATAATTCATCGTAAACCGATAATTCATCATAAACCGATACTACAATCCCTTGATACGACGATTCATCAATCCGTACAACCCAACCAATACGATACGATTTCACTCAAAAACCTATTTCGCAAAAAAAAAAAAAAACATTAAACCGAAGAAGAAGAAGAAGAAAAAACTTGATATTAACTTACTGTTGGAAAGCGGTAGGGTTTCTATACACAGGACCGGAGGGGACGAACTCTTCTTCCTTATACGACCTATAGCTCCGGCTTCGAATCGCTTCCCTGATCGCCGCCCGAGCTCTAGCCAGCTCCTCTTCGATCTTCTCCAAGCCGCCGCTAGCATTACGTCTGCTGTCGCTACTGCTGACGTCGATCTTCTCCGTCGTCAGCGGCGGCGGCGGCGCTGCAGCCGGGACGGTGGCGGCGACGGAGAGTTTCCTGTCGAGGAAGGGCGAGGCGGCGAACAGGGCGTAGAGGAGGAGGAGGAAGATTGGGATGAGGGTTAGGATTACGTGAGAGGTTTTTTGCTCCGCCGCCGCCATTATTGTTGGGCCGGAAGGAGGACTCTCTTGTGAATATGTTTTTGACTGATTTACGGTGTATAAGGTTTTTCCATCAAATAATATATATAAAGAGGGATAGTAGGAATTATCGGTGAAATACGTTGGATGAGAAAGATTTGAGATTTTTGTTTATCTTTTCGACATTGAAATTTCTCTCAATATTTGTTATGGGGAGTGGAAAAATTAAGAATTATTTCGACCGTATGGATAGGTATATAACG